TCAAACACGAGAATGAAATTCCCTGACTTTTCCAGGTTTTCCAGGTATGTTTCGAGAAAATTCCAGTCTATCCGTGTGATGTACATTGGCTTTGCTAAGAGGTATATTAAATATAGTATTACTTGTATTGTGTAGCAAATTCACTTAATTATTCAATAAATCCCAGAGGACATTTATTATTAATTATTCTCGGTACACTTTGTTTACTTTTCCACTTATGAAACTTAATAAAATTTAAGATATATACATTGGATAACAATTGTACGTTTTATTTAATTATTACTCATGATCATCACCAGTTCAACACGAGGCTAATTCGGTTCTTATAAATCACAACGCAATGCTAAATAGTTAGGTTAGATTTTAGGTAAATTTAATTTGTATGAGGTGTCTTCTTAAAAGGCACCTTAACACTTAAAAACACAAATATAATTATAATAGGAATTGTTTTCTCCACTGAAGATTGAGATTAGAATCTACCCAATCTGGAATAAAATAAGTCTTTTTGCAGACATTCTGCAGCTAAACGAAAGAAAGAAATCTAGTTAATGACATTTTTTTAATAAATTGATGTATTTTACATTTCTTTCGCAGTATACATAAGGAAAAAATATGTGCATTAAATTTCGTGATAGTATGTCATCATACTGCTAGAATTAATTTCAGGATTATGCCAGAGAAAATTTCCTGAAATTTGGAAATATTATTTACTAATGATAAATAAATTTAGAGGGAAGAAGCAACATTAAATGATATGAATAACATAAAAATAAAGATAATTACTTAAAAAATTGAATTAGAATAATCAACGATATTTTAGCGAATATAGTTATATTACATGGTTAGCCTAGATGACTGATTACTATTTTTTTATTTTACTGCAAAATGACAAGATATTTATTAAAAAGAAAAGGGAAAAAAAAAAGGTTTAAAAAGATTTTGTGGTAAAATCCTACTATACGGTACGGCCTTCGCACGATTTTGAAAATTGTCGCCAAGAACAAAATGACCCGTTTACTGCTCATGATCATGTCAAGAAATGTTCTTTGACAAAAAAGAAAACTACGAAAATCCGTCCTTAAATTATTGCGAAAAATCCAAGAAGAAACGTTTTATCAAAGAACGTTTCTCTTGGATTTTTCGCAATAATTTTAAAAACGGATTTTTGTAGTTTTTTTTCCCTCAAAATAATTAATCCATGAATTAATTTACTTGCGCCAAAAAATATTTTCTTTCCCTTTAGAGTTTAAAGAAATTTTAAACGAAATTCATTTTATGAACTCTTGATAACGCGACCTTCGAACTTCGACACCGGTTTCGAGCTTTGGCGACAGATAGTATCGCGCATGCACAGCTGTTTCCCTCTATGATGGAACGGAGCCACCTCCTGTTCGCAGAGAAAGTTTTCCATCTTAACAATACATATTCTTTGATTCTGACTTTCATGGTACCGTATACTAGGATTAAACCCATTTTGTTTTATATGAGAATAAGGTACTTTGCTTTAGTTCAACATGCACTGCACATGCGATTCTTCGAGGTTACTGGAAAGCCAAAAGTTGCGGGAAACTTGCTTTGCCTTTCTAAAAGACAATCAAATTTGAGCTGTGAAAATTGGCTCTATGCCAGTTGCCCAAATGACACATGCGATACACATTTCACCAAAAAAGTGATCTCTTCCGACGTCGGTGCAAAACTCGCCTTTTTTGGCGGGATCGTTGTATGAAATTCCCTGACTTTTCCAGATTTTGACTAAAACACTTAAATTCCCTGACTTTTCCCTGAATTTTTTGGTCAATTTCCGAATTCCCTGACTTTTTCCGGTTTTCCCGGTAGCGTAGCAACCCTGTTATACTTATGACTATTTCTTGCATATGCTTAAGGCTTATCAGAGTTCTGAATAAATAAATTCCCACATATACTTAAACCTTATTGAGTGCCGGCACTAGAGATCTTACCACCTGATGCAGTCTCTGTGGGTCCTAAATTCTGCGACTCCGTGTAGCCATACGAGCCCTGGTGCTGGTTCTGGGTTTATGCGAATAACAAATTAGTTATTCTTAATTCAAATAGCCCTAAATGCAATCTTTGGGTCTATGAGTAGACATCATGACATTCAACATTTTTTAGCGCATTTAACTTAAATCTGTAATCATCACCAACTGTAATGTCAACATAAAAGGTCAGCATGCTCTTTATTATTCAATTACTAACAAAAAAATTGCTTATGCATCGCTAAATGAGTCATTACTGAAGCTGTCATGTTTTGATAAACATGTGGTGATGAAAGGAAAGTATAATAAATAATGATTCGCCAGGTTGGCGTCAGATCAACGATGTATCTATGTGTAATGTTTCAGTTTGAGATGTGTGCGAAGCAGATATGCAGCAACGGAGCCATATTACTGATTGTACAAATTTATGCTAAAATAATTATTTCTTCAATAACAAGGTATTTTATTGTGTCAAAGTGAAATTAAGGATCGAGACTCTCCAGATGTTTTATTATGCGCGGAGGGGGGGAATCAAATGCGCATGCGTAAAGCCTACGAGGAAAACATTGTTGGTGGTTTTGAGGTCAGGATTTTAGATCATTCCATATAAAGGATGTTCGGATTTCGGATTTTGTACTGTACTTTTATTTATACATTAATTTTGTTATTATTTTGATGATAAACACCATTACTTCTTCCAATCTTTCTAATGTAACGTTCATTACTGGAAGGGGAGTGAATGTAATGGCATAAAATGTAAATAATTAGTTTGAAAGTACAGTTTTTATCTTTGGGATCCAATTTGTTAAAATAACAGAAGATGAGTTTTGACTACTGAGTTGGCGAATAAAAATTACATTCGGTGTTGATATGGTAATCTTTTATTTTTTTATAGTTCAGTCAAACATCCTTGAAACACTAAAATTTGGTCTGCATCTTATTATATTGTATCAAATTTCTATGCAACTTTCAACTGATTGAACATAAGTTCTTTTTCAAATATATGCCAAAAACATTATTATTGAGACGGTCAAGACATTTTTATGCATTTTCAAAAATTTTCAGAAACTTAGCTGGAGCATTTCATTTATTACCCTTGTGTTTCTCATACTGCAACTATAAGATATTTTTTTCCAGTGTCCTTTAGTGAAAATCATAAGCCACTACTGTTTTACACTTTTGATGTCTTATTTCAAGTAAGAAATCCCACAACAGTATCAAGGTACAGGTTTTTAACGATATCCCACAATTAAAAAAAGTTTATCTTCAATAGCAAATAACACACTGTTAAATAATATATTAAGTGTCACAGTCTGTTAAACACAAGCATTTATCTTTTCCATTGCATTATACCTCATTACACAATTCCAATACATGCAAGAAAAAAGTTAACGGTCGCTTTTAATTTCCTGATAAAACGCAATTGGTTTAATATTACTTCCTAATGACCCAAAAAGCATGCAAGGTAGCCTAAATGTACAAGAGTATTCGGAAACTAAGTAAAGTTTTGAAAAAAAAAAAAAAAATAGTAAAACAATTTTTCGAATCCAATTTTATTTTTACATGAAAATACATGTCAAACTATTTTTCAACATAGTTTCCGCCAATGATCAAACACTGTCATAGCGGGGTGACCAGTTTTTGTATACCATCGTCAAAGAAAACTTCCCACCAGTTTCGATAACCACGACTCCACAGCATTTTTCGTGTCATCGTCCAGATCCAAAGCGCTTGCCACCAAGCTCGCGCTTCATGTGCAGGAACAAGTGATAGTCGGACGGCGCCAAGTCCGGGCTGTACGGTGGGTGATCGAACTGCTCCCAATGATGAAACTGTCGAAATTAACGATTGAGGGACACCAGCAGTAGTATGGGGCCGAGCATTGTCATGAAGCAACACAATTCCTTACTGAGCATTCCTCTTCGTTTGTTTTGAATGGCACGCCTTAGTTTTGTTAAAGTCTCACAATATCGTGCCGCATTAATGGTTTCACCTCTGGGAAGAAATTCAGTAAGCAAAACGCCTTTCCTATCCCAGAAGACAGTGCACGTGATTTTTTGTGATGACATTGTCACTTTGAACTTTTGTTTTTTCGGAGAATGAGTGTGTCTCCATTCCATCGATTGTTGTTTCAATTCTAGTGTGAAATGACACACCCAAGTTTCATCACCTGTCACAATTTGGTTTAAAAAGTTTTCTCCCTCATCACTGTACCGCGTGAGAAATGTCAGGGCACTACCAAGTTGCTTTGTTTTGTGAACATCAGTGAGCATTTTTGGAACCCACCGGGAACACAGTTTACGATAATTCAAGCGGTCAGACACAATTTCGAACAAAACAGTACGTGAAATTTGTGGAAATGCCTCTGAAAGAGTTGTCATTGTGAAGCGTCTGTTCTCATGAATTGCTTCATCAACTTTCTTACCAAATCATCGGTGACACCAGAAGACCGACCACTCCGAGCCTCGGCGTGGACATTTGTTCGACCTGCATTAAACATTCTTACCCACTTTCTCACCATTCCATCACTTATCGCGTATTCACTGTAAACTTCTGTCACTTGACGATAAATTTCGGCCGGTTTAACATTCCTCGCGTTAAAAAATTTAATCACGGCACGAATCTCACAGTCAGCGGGAGAACTAATTGTCTTAAACATTTTGAATGTGCACAGCAAACTGAAAACACAACACACAGCAACCAAAATGGCGACAATTGAAAGTCAGTGAACAAGAAAGACTAGTGCGCATGCACGGGATGCCTACCACAGCGCTGCGACAGCGCTAGAATGAGACGATACTTAGTTTCCAAATACGCTACATACAAAAAAAAAAAAATGTGCATTAAAAATCCTTGAAGACAGTAAAAAATTTCACAGAATTTTTACGAAAGTAACAAAATTAAAAAATTCCTTACTAATATTTTTCTATCTAAAAGCTGCAAGCAAAAATATGCCATCCAGTAGAAATTTATCAAATAGATCTTGCAAAATAATTAGTCACTTACTGGTTTAATATCTCTGTGAATGTAGCCAGCACTATGTAAATATTCTATTGCACGTAAAATCTGCTGGCCTAGTCGCAGACTAGTGGTTGAAGTGAAACTACCACCTGGCATGCAGTGCACGATTTTAGACAAATCGTGGCCTAGAAGATCCATTACTATGAAGTTAAAGTTAGAATGATGTCCATAAGCATAGAGTTGGCAAATGCCATCCTTTCCTATAAATAAATAAAAAAAAAAATAGCTGGTAACTTTGAAAACTAAGCAAATATATTCAATTAAATAGAGGCAATTCCTGTTTATTCAAAGGTTAGTATCTGAATACACACACAATATACACGACCCTAGAGTATTTTGAGACATCTTTCAGAAAGCATACATTACATGCATTTTAAAATAAGTCCAGAAATTAAGGCAATATATTAAGTACATAAATCCAGGTACAAAGTACCAGGAGCATTTTGGCATTAAAATAAGGACAAAATTTCTCTTTCTCATGGCAGTTTTGTAAAATTTGGGCTTTCTCAGTGAAACCCAATGCTGGTAAGAGAGTTAAGGGAAACTGCCTCATATTCATGCCACACATGAGGAAAAATGTAAACCAAACACTCAGCCAGCCCGTTCACCTGGGTTTAAAACCAGCTGAACTCATGGTTATTCAATGGTTTTAAATACTTAGCAATTAATGATACCATTTATTCAAAAGGTTACTAACATATTTAAGAGTAATAACAGAAAATGTCAAAATGAGAAATTTGATGTTTCCTTGTTTAGTTTGCAAATGCATTTTAGCAACCAATATACATAAATAACGTGCTACATATCATTTCTAAATGCATGCAAATAGAAAGAATCCTAAATATACAGTGAGGTCAAAAAAGTAACTCTGCCTTTAATTTCACAATCGTTGGTCATAGGCATACACTGGAGTGCAAAAATTAAGGACGAGAGGGTTTTTCCAATATAACTTTGTACAAAAGCTTTCCAAATCAACACATTTAATACCGTAAGATCCCCAATACATAAGGACATGAGTAATGTAAGCAACACTTACTAAAAGGGAAATCAGAGGGATAAAAAGAAGCTTTATTGAAAAAGTAGCATGGAGCGCAATGCGACTGAAGGCCGAAACATCCCTGTAATGGATGTCTAGCAAGAAACATCCGGTCTTTTAGGGGATATGATCTCCCCTGACTGCTAGGCAGGTTTCACAGCGTCTGCCCATGCTCAGAATGAGGGTGTCAATGAGTTGCTGAGGCATTGCTGCCCATTCGTCTTGCAGCGCCAATCGAAGCTCCGGAATTGTTACTGGTGGTAAGGTACGAGCTGCCAAGCGTCTGCCTAGAAAATCCCATACATGCTCGATAGGATTGAGATCCGGAGATCGTGCCGGCCAATTCATATGTTCAATATCCTCGCTTTCTAAGAGCTGTTCGGCAGCTACTGTGCGATGACATGGTGCATTGTCGTCCATGAAAAGGAACTGCGGACCCATAGCGCCTCTAAAAAGACGCACGTACGGAAGAAGAATCTCGTTACAATAACGGGTCCCGTTGACTGAATCTGCGTCGAAGCTGTGAAGGTCTGCACTACTACCAAGCATGATGCCTCCCCAAACGAGAACACCGCCACCTCCATACCTGTCCCTTTCAATGATGTTCGAGGGATGATTGCGGCTTCTTCCCCGCTGTCTCCAGATGAGTATGCGATGAGAATCGCTACTCAGACTGAATCTGCTCTCATCTGTAAAGAGTACTCGTCCCCATTCATTGTCTCTCCAATTCCAGTGTTCCCGGCACCACAGAGAACGCCTTCTCCGATGGGCAGGCGGTAGAGGTACACACCGCACAGGGCGTCGTGCAAACAGACCACCACCGTGCAGTCCTCTGGCCACGGTAAAACACGATATCGGTCGTCCAGTCGCGTGTGTCTAGTGATTTCTCCCGCTGTCTGCCGCGTGTTTCTTCTGGCCTATAAGGCAATATACCGGTCATCTGCGGGTGTGGTTCCTCGTGGACGACCACTACTAAACCCCCGGATAGCTGTTCCTGTAGTTTGAAATCGTCTCCAAAGTCGTGAAACGATGCTGTGAGGAATTCTGAACTCTGCAGCCACACTTGTCACACTGCGGCCTTCCTCCAACTTCCCAATGATTCGACCTCGGGTAAAAGCATCCAGATGTCGTCTAGCAGATTGATTATTCGCCATTTCTCGCTGAGGCAGCAACTCGGTGTGATTTTAACTGCTATACGGCATGCAATCTCTTCGCCAGAAATACTGATCTTACACCGACAGCATGCTTTATACCACTCAGACACTCCCTCATTACGTCTACCTGCATATCTGCGCATGTGCTACTGTACATCACCTTACTTAATCTCCTGATTGGTCTTTCTGTCCGCTCTGCCTCTTCGTTCAGCTGATATGCTAATTTTTCGACTTCGTCCTTAATTTTTGCACACCAGTGTATATTTTCAGTTCCAAATTTGTTTTAAATGAATCTAATATTCATATTTTGACATTTAAAAAAATGTGAAAATTGCAAAAATCTAACTTTTTATATGTTTCTTCAGTTTCTATAGCTATATTTACGAAAATGTTACAGTCATTATAAAAAGCATTACATGAAAAGTGTCACTACCATATGACAAAAATTGACCGAGATATTTAGTTCTAAAGATAAGCATCATATTCAGTGGTGCACACGAAATGACGGATGAAGTATTTGCATTTGTCCTGAACTAACAGTAAGATATCTGTTTAGGAAAATATTTCTGATATAAATAAATTAGTTGATGAGCATTTCTATGCATATTATCATGATAAGTACTGATCAATTTAATTTACTTCAAACACCAGATCTTATTTGCAAAATTTTACTCTAGAAAACTCCGGGCAGCATCAATATCATCATACTGCCAACTTATAATGTTATTTGCATAAATTAAAAATACATCTATATTAATGAACTTTTTGTATGATTTTTAAATGAGGATTATGAGGTAATAGAAACTACATGAGAATATTAATAATGCATTTCCAATATTACAAAACTTTAAATTATTTGTGCGAAAATCTTTTGGCATACCAACTGCAACGAAATTAATTAAAGAAGGTCAAACATGAGTAAATCACAAATCACTGAATGGCATTTAAGGGGAGAAAATCAACTTCAGATTAGTTTAATTCATTTATTACATTAAGCATCTGAAGTGATAGGAACATCCAAGCGAGAGTTCATAACTTAATGTATACTTACAACAAGGCCCATCCAAAAAATAGTTTTCCACCTTAGAGATCATTTACCAAGATATTTCTATTAAATTCGCCCACTCCTTGCACTGCCCTGGAGTTTTCCAAAAAAGATGTTAAAGCATAATACAAGATATTAAAAAAATATAATGCAAAAAAAATGATAGACAGATCTCTCAGAAGCATGAAATGTATGTCCATGGTATGTATGTCCATGAAAACATCAATTCCGTACAATTTCAGATCTTAAAAACAATTCCAAAAGCCAAGCTTGAATATCTTAAAATGACCAAAGAAACCGAGTGTAAAATCCTAAGAAAATTATACAGTACAAAGTCTGAGATTTGGAATTACCGAGACATCTGCAATTTCAGATTTGGGATTTTTCTAAATATTAGATCATCAGTTTAAATCTAGTAAGATGATACAAAGAAAATATAAAATTAAAAATTAATAGCACGTTATGAAATAATAAAGGATTTATGAATTTAATGGAATCAGAATTTACAAAAAACTCTCAATATTTATTTATTTATTTATTTATTTGCTTTATTAAGCATGTCTTTCAATGCATGTTGTTTATCTGTTTTATTCTTTGGGCAAAATTACAAACATAATTTCTTGTTCAGTTTCAAACGTCCATTGTTCAAGTCCTGTAATTGCTGTGTTGTGAATTGCCACTAAACTGTAGATCTAAGTTTTTTCATTAGCAATATTTTCTGGATTTAGAGCCATACTACAGATTTCACCATCCGTTAGTAGACCGACGACTTGGTTACTGTCATTGCAATGAAACCTTCTGCTATATCATCTTCATTTATTAGCATTTTTACAAATTTCTTCACAAATTCCATTAACAGGAAATTTCACTTATTTTTTGCAATATCCAAAAAACTTCAAATTCATGGCTATCAGCATAATGCTTAGCTAGCATTCGCTATACACAGCTGGCGATGTAGCATGAGATTGCAACTAAAGACATTTTGCTCTGCTACATTTTTTCTTGCTTCTACTGCATACTAACTTAAACCTGAGTTACAATATAGTTTAGTTATTTATTATACTTAGGCCTGTTTCCCCAAATAAGCCTCAAATAGATTAAGGCTTATTTGAGTCACAAATATATGATTGCCTACAAATACATTTGGCTTATCCAGGGATGGTACTAGATATTTTGTAGTCAAAGCACTTTATGCAGGTCCTAAATTCTGCTCCGAAGTGCTCCTTAAAATCTAAAAATTTTCCTGACCCTAAATTTTGCCTTCTAGAGCCTTCTTAAATTCTAAATGTTTTGCTGTCCTTTAATTTTGTTTCTCGGTGCTTCTCAAAATTCTAAAAATTTTCCGCTTTTAAATTCTGCCACCCTATACAGCTGCATGGCAAATCAGTTACTCTCAATTCAAACAGAATTAAATGTACTCTTTAACCTATGAGTATCATTGACAAAATCCACTTTTGCATAGAGAAAGATATTTTCATTAAATTTCTCCTCGTCAACATACGTAACACTCTGCAGCACAGTTAGCTAGAGTATGTATCATCACCAAGCATAAAGTCAACATAAAAAGTTATCACGCTCTTTGATGGTCAATTACTAATTTTAGAAAAAGGTTCAGATATCACTACACAAGTCATTTCTCAAGCTTCCCTGTGCTGATAGTCAAGCAGTGATGAAAGCAAAATAGAATAGTGATTGGCCAGGTTTGAGTCACGGATATAAATTATTCATGCTCCAGAAGTCAAAAACCTAATAAATAATGGGCAGTATCAATGACGTATCAATGAATGTTTTATATGTATAGTTTGACATGTATGCAAAGCAATAACGTGGCTAATGTTAGAAAATATGACTTACTGTAACCCTTTTGCTGCATCATCTCTCCTCCTTGAAATATTTATCTAGTTTAGTTCTTATTTTAAAGGGATATAGTAGTTACTTCTACTTCGTTTTTCACTGCCACTGTTT